GAATCACCCGTATAAGAAATCCGAATAACAATAATAATAGATTTCTGGTAATACATTATAAACACTTTGGACCCGTTACGAATTAGAATAAAGTAAGCAGAAACATAAGTTGCAGACGCTGAAGTTAAACTTGTCAGTGGGAAATTTTTTGATTGACTGCCTGAAATCACGTGTAATTTTTAATTAAATAATTTGTTAAACATCAACAAAATAATCTGTAACCTTTAAAATTAACAATATGCTTACAAAATTGCATATTACCTTTTACCAAACTTTCGGTAAAATATTTTCCTTTGTTAATATAATTACAAATTTTTCAAAATAAAATTAACAAACTACAAACGTTTTTTGATTTTGATTTTTATAACAGTGTTTGTATAATATGATTTAATGATTTTTTTTGCTTGACCAAACCAACCAAACTTATTACATGATCTCTTAAAAATCATGTTTTATCTCACTTTTGAATCTTTTCAAATTCGATAATAACGCGTTTAAACTGAAGCCTAAATTGATGAATGATTTTATGTTGCAGATGTGAGATTAAAACTTGCGCAACGTCAAAAAGTTTGCCAATAAATTGCCAAAATATCGATAAACTGGTTGAATTATATTCCGTTAAAGATACCAGAGGATTTATGGTGCAAGTTTTAATATGAAACAAGCCAAAAAGTGAAAATTGATTGATGAGATATTGAAACAGAAATGCTTTAATATGATATGTCCTTAATATTACAAAATAATTAATATGATATGTCCTTAATATTACAAAAAAAGTTTTTTATTTTTTTATTTGTATACAAATTGCAGAATACCTATTTCTTGAAAACGGGAAACTCGGTGATTATCTGATAAATTAATGAAATTAATTCCTTGCTCCCCAAGAGAAATCTTTCCCCTAACTAGATGTTGAATTAAAAGAACAATTACCCAGGGAACGAATAAGTGTTAATATGGCTTTCGACACAATTCGAAAGAATGTAAGAAATATTAATGGTTTTTGGTTCTGTTAAGTCGAAATCTTCTATTAACAATATTAAGTAAAACAGTTAATAAAATATGAAATCAGAATTGCAATAAACTGGAATATTATGTCCAGTTCAAAATAGATAAAAGGAATACAATTTGTGAAATTTATCCTTACCATTAAATTAAAGATTGTTTACAGTAAATGATCCATATATGGCTCTTATATATAAAGCTATAAATAAAACATAAACACCATTTATCATTGTACTTTTTAAATTGACTATTTTTATCACGATATCAATTTATTTTGAATTCTACCTCAGATGTCTGCTATCAATCATTATTATTTCTAACAAAAAATACAAAAGAATCCAATATCCAGGTTTAATACGTAACATAAGCGATTTATTTTTAAATATATAAAAAAAATTGGTTTACATAGTCTATCATAGCTTAAAGCTCTCTTCCTAAAGATATTAATGGTTTTTGGTTCTGTTAAGTCGAAATCTTCTATCAACAATATTAAGTAAAAAAGTTATAAAAATATGATATTAGAATTGCAAAGAACTGGAATATTATGCCCAAAATACATAAAAGGAATACAATTTATGAAATTTATCCTTACCATTAAAAAATGTTTACAGAAAATGATCCATACGAGGTGTGTTAAGAAAATATCGGAAACTGTTAAATTTCGCGGGTTGTCATAAAATTTTCTTTATTATGTTGGTATAGATGCCCCCGAAGTATGATAAAAACTTTAGCTGTTTTCATTGTTTACTTTGTCTGTGGCAGCCGCTAAGGTTAGACGTGTTTTATGAGCTCGGCCATTTTTCGTTCGTTAAAAGAAATGGATCAAAGAATTTTTATCCAATCTTGCTTAAAAAATGAAATAAATTCTGTGAAATGTTAACACAGGCCTATAGTGAGTCTGCTATAAGTAAAACAAGAGTTAACAAGTGGTATAGGAGTTTCCAAGATGGCCGTGAAGACGTTGAAGATGACGAACGCCCTGAACGCACAAACACATTAACAACCGATGAAAACATGGAAAAAGTGGAAGAAATGGTTATAAACCATCAGAGAAGTCGCTGATGATGTTGGTATATCGATTGGCTCATCCCATGAAATTTTTTCGAATTTTTTGGGTATGAAACGCGTGGCAGCAAAATTTGTTCTAAAATTGTTAAATTTTGAACAAAATTTTTGGCCAAAAACAATACTGTAATGATACCCCAGCCTCCATATTCGCCAGACATGCCTCTGTCTGACTTTTTCCTATTCCCAAAAATAAAGAGAACCTTAAAGGGCCGTCGTTTTGTAAGCATAGATGACATTAAAAGCGCATCGCTGAAAGAACTAAAGGCTATCCCAAAGATCGAGTTTTAGAAGTGTTTCGAGTATTGGAAGAGCTGGCACATGTGCATAATATTCAATGGGGACTATTTTGAAGGCGACAACATTAATGTAGACGAATAAATAAATATTTGTTTCAAAAAACGAAAATTACCGATATTTTCTAAACACACCTCGTATATGGCTCTTATATAAAGTTATAAATAAAACATAAACACCATTTATAAGTGTACTTTTTAAATTGACTATTTTTATCACGATATCAATTTATTTTGAATTCTACCTCAGATGTCTGCTATCAATCATTATTATTTCCCACAAAAAATACAAAAGAATCCAATATACAGGTTTACATAAGCGATTTATTTTTAAATATATATCAAAAAAATTGATTTTTATGGTCTACAGCTTAAATCTTAAATGGTCTAAAGCTTAAAGCTAAAAAAATAAAAATAAAATAAAATAAAATTATAACTATTTTTATGAAAATGAATTGTTTATTTTTGAAAATATGTGATTTTATTGTATTATTGAAAAAATAGAATTTTTTTTATTAAATTAAACGAATCTGGTACTACATAGTTTTTCTCAATTTTAGTACGATTACTTTTTTACATAATCTTTTTATTTCTGTGACATTCTACAAAATTTTATACGATTTTATAAAATATTTTACAATAAAAAGTTTTCCTTCAGTACAGCTAATGACGTAGAAATTCTTTTAATAATTATTTTTACGGCAAAATAAAATTCGTAGTTACGCATACGTGGTCTTGAGTATAAGATGTAGACATTTTCGCTAAACGAAAAAGTGAGGTTAATTCCGTTATAATTGTACTTTTTAAATTGACTATTTTTATCACGATATCAATTTATTTTGAATTCTACCTCAGATGTCTGCTATCAATCATTATTATTTCCCACAAAAAATACAAAAGAATCCAATATCCAGGTTTACATAAGCGATTTATTCTTAAATATATATAAAAAAAAATGATTTTTATGGTCTACAGCTTAAATCTTAAATGGTCTAAATCTTAAAGCTAAAAAAAAATAAAAATAAAATAAAATTATAACTATTTTTATAAAAATGAATTGTTTATTTTTGAAAATATGTGATTTTATTGTATTATTGAAAAAATAGAATTTTTTTTTTATTAAATTAAACGAATCTGGTACTACTCTACTACATAGTTTTTCTCAATTTTAGTACGATTACTTTTTTACATAATCTTTTTATTTCTGTGACATTCTACAAAATTTTATACGATTTTATAAAATATTTTACAATAAAAAGTTTTCCTTCAGTACAGCTAATGACGTAGAAATTCTTTTAATAATAATTTTTACGGCAAAATAAAATTCGTAGTTACGCATACGTGGTCTTGAGTATAAGATGCAGACATTTTCGCTAAACCAAAAAGTGAGGTTAATTCCGTTTAACAAATATAATTGGCTTTAAATTCTTTTTTGTGTTCGTCGTAGATAAAGTATACCTAGTATGCAACTCGTTTTATAAACTTATCTAGACTTGAAAAAAAACGGTCCGTTTTTTTTGTTTTTTTTCAGTTTTTTTTTCATTGTTTTTTTTTCAAATGGTTTTTTTTTCACATTTTAGGTTTTTTTTTCAAGATTAGTCCCCTTTGCCTAATTTTTTAGGTTTCATGGACTAAAATTAGCCACTAAATGACAATTAGTAAATGTAAATACAGTCTCGCGCTATGCACGCGCCACTACCACCGAATTGAACAATAAATACGACTATTTTTAACAAAGATACAGCTATCCGAAGAATCGCAAAACAATTTTTTTTATCCTTTAATTTTTTGTATTGGTGAAGAAGTTTTACATTGCTACTGGTTTCTAATGTGGAAACTACCAAATAATAAGAAATCAGATTTTTTAGTCTCGGTCAAAATTTTCAATAATGAAAAATTTAATATATTCTACATTTCACTTTATTATTAATATATATTTTACTAAAAATTTCATTTTGAAAAAAAAACAAAAAAAACCGTTTTTTACATCTCCACTCGTGCCTAATAAAACTCGTAACTAAAATGGCGTTTATAAAACTTGATAGTTTTTAGTACCTATACTATTATATAAAAGATGCCACAGACGATGGGTGATTGACCTACTTCAAACTTCAACTTTGCGACACGAAATCTGTGAAGTGCGACTTCTGCCTTCTGTGGTCAAAGTACTAAATCATACATGCGTAACTACAAATTTTATTTTTTCGTAAAAATAATTGTTAAGAAAATTTCTACGTCATTAGCTACAGCTGAAATTTTTTATTGTATAATATTTTATAAAATCGTATAAAATTTTGTAAAATTTTACAGAAATAAAAAGATTATGTAAAAAAAGTAATCGTACTAAATTTGAGTAAAACTAGTACCAGATTCTTTTAATGTAATAACAAATTTTTAATTTATCCGAATCTCTTGTCAATAATTTTCACTTATCTATTTTCAATAATTTTTACTTTTTTAATAATACAATAAAATCACATTTTTTCAAAAATTAACAATTTATTTTCATAAAAATAATGATAATTTTGCAGTCAAAATATAACTGGATAAAGCCCGCCCCCTGAACACAAAACATTATATTTCCTGCATCGACATCGAAATAAATCGAATGCAGTCTAATTTTTTCTTGTTGTCTAGTCACTGGAAAATGGCAGCAGCTCAAGCCGATAGGGGAGCGTCTCCCCTGTCTTCAGGAACACACCGCGGTGGCTCACAAAGAGAATATTTACGTATTCGGCGGGGAAGTCAGTTTTTCAGCAGATACAGAGACCCCTTTGTGGGTCTACGACATCAAGGCAAACAGCTGGAAAAAAGTTCGGTCAAAGAAAGGTAAAAAATTTTGCTTGAATATTTTATTTGACTGTTGGGATCTGCGATAGCTCCTATATGTCATATAGTATATGATTACAAATTTCCCTTGGTTATTTTGCAAAGTATTGTTTTAAACAATCTTTTGGAAATCCAAAGTAGTCAAGAAGTAAAAATTTGTGATTGATCCGACCTGCATTCATGATATTAAAATTAATGATGTTTTGAAGGTGTATCGACTCCCAAAGGAAGACGAGGACATACAGCGTTGGTTTACAAAGGCTCCATGTTAATATACGGTGGATATCAGGATCTAAAAGGATCTTCAAGTGAACTTTGGGCCTTCCATTTTGGTAATTATCCATAACAAATATTATTTTGATTTAAATATTAAATATAAATTTTATCTAAAACTGGATCGGTAAAATTGTACAAATAAAAACAACTCTCATTTCTACGGCACGCCGTTTTACCATTTATTAAATAATTTTTTAATTTAAAATTTTATTGGGTTACAATATTCCAAAATTTTAGGTTTACATTTATAAAGTTAAAATATTTTCAACTATCATGTATTGAAGGACAAAATTTACTAAGAATTCACTTCTGTATTAAACGATATTATTTCCTATCAATTTTTGCAAAAATTTATAAACATATTTTTTAATAAAAATAATTTGTTTGGGCAGAAGTTTTTAAATCTTAAATAAACATTTAATAAATTTTTTTAGATTAAATTGGTAAAGTTAAATTTTTTGGTATTTAAAAATAATGTCGAGACATTTAAAATAAAAACACATATAAAACATTTAAACTTAAGTTAATTCAAATAGTCCAGTCATCTAGGCATTTCACCTCGGAATCTAACGGAATAAGCTGAATTTTTGTACAAACCTTTATTTTAGCATTGCAAATGTTGTCTCAAAAGTCACATATGCCAACGTGTGAGCGGCCTTATATATTCAAGGTCAAAGGTCGCAAAAATCAAGTTTTTGAGAATATCTCCTTTTCTCTGCCTCCTATCGTATTTGCATTTATTATACAAGTTGTAGAGAATAAAATTATCTACAAATTTTGTTTAAAACATTTTTTTATACGTCTAATCGTTTTTGAGATAGAGGGCGCAGAGTGTGGACCGCTCAGCCATACGTACCTTTAGCGCAAGGTAAATCATGAATCCCAATCTATTATACCGTTTTTTTAATTAATTATTTATTAAATATTACTTAAATAACAATTTAATACCTTATATTTATTTTTATATATTTTTTTTAAACAAATAGTCATTACTTACTTTTGACATACAAATAATTAAATAACGAAGTGAATCATGAATGATAAATGCATCTCTTGGATCCAGATATTGCTTTTTAAATAACAGACCTGGAAATACTATGGTGGGCTTGCTATAAATAAAAAGGTTAGGTATATCTATATTTAAAGCAAGTTGTGACCCTAGTTATAGGTCTAGGGTTGTGACAGGTAATATTCGTAATATTTTAAAGGTTAACATGGCTGATTTGTGTTTTATTTGTAATAAGTTACTTTCTAAAGGTGATTCTGTGACTTTTGTTGCGACTTTAAAAGAAGCAATTATTGAGAGAAATAAACATAAATTACCTGAGAGAAATAAACATAAACTACCTAAATACTTTGACTTCTGTGAACGTTCATATTGAGTGTCGAAAATTGTACGCTGTAGCGTACTATAGTAAAATTGCAGCAGCAAAACGTCGCTTTGAAGAGACTGGACCTTCAACGTCATCAACTGTACCTCGTAAAAAAGGGAATGATGTGTTTGATTTTAAAATATTGTGCTTATTTTGTGGTGAATTCGCATATGAGGCAACAAAGGCAAAAAAATCTGCAAAGTACAAACGCGTTATAAGTAAGTTTTTGAAGATATGACAATGTCAATGATAACGAGGAGAGTGATGATGACAATGAGTCTGAAATTGCTGGCCAACCTGACGAGGATGAAGAAGATAAAGATTAATAATAATAATAATAATAATATTGATATAAATAAAAACATTTTTTCCTACTCCGATCCAATTATCCTTCATTAAAATTAAATTAAAATATAAGATATATATGAAGATAAAATATATTTGATTTAAAATAAATATTAATATAAGTATAAGGTATTAAACGAGGTATTAATTTTTTTTTTTGTAATATTTATTATATAATTAATTAAAAAACCTTGCGCTAAAGGGACGTATAGCCATATATGGCTGAGCGCTCCACACTCTGCGCCCTCTATCTCAAACTCTATCTCAAAAACGGTTCAACGTATAAAAAAATTTTGTTAACAAAATTCTCTACAACTTTTATAATAAATGCAAATACGATAGGAGGCAGAGAAAACAAGATATTCTCAAAAAACTGATTTTTGCGACCTTTGACCTTGAATATCTAAGGCCGCTCACGCGTTGGCATATGTGACTTTTGAGACAACATTTGTAATGCTAAAATAAAGGTTGTCACAAAAATTAAGCTTATTCCGTTAGATTCCTAGGTTGATCCCTTTTTTTGACTAAGATGACTGTACTAAAAAGTTTAAGTTTAAAATATTGGTTTTTAAAAAATGTAGTTTTAATATTATATTCCACAAAATTATTGGTTTAAATTTGTAGAGAGTTATTTAAATCAAAGTCGATAAATTTTTAATACAAAAATTATAACATCACATTTAAATATTAAAGTGGTAAATTTTGGATTAAAAATTAATCGACTATCATTTAAATGATTTTTTACAAATTTAAACCGAAACCTATTATTTTTAACAATTTTAAATTGATACATTTTTAACACAAAATTTATAACTTTGGTTTAAATTTGTAAAAGAAATCGGCAGTAAAGTAGAACTTTACTGCCGATTTAATACGAGTATTGTATGCAACCCTTTATACATTTTAAGATGTATCTATTGCTACTCAGCAGCAACTAAATAATATTTTAAAAAAAGCACCGTCGCGGAGGTCGATTGGATCCTTTCATAAAATATTGTTTAATAAAAATAATAAGTTAATTTTATTAATTAGATTAAAAAATCGCCGCGGCGAGCAAATATATCATAACCGTCGCAACAAACAGTATACGTAGACACTTCCTACATTCAAATGACATTTGATTTAATCATCAATATTAGTTATTAGTATTATTAAATGTGATTTCGGATAAAATTTAATATGCACCTCGGCATTAAAGTCATTTTTTATCACGCACGTGGTTATTTGCCTCGGCTTTCGCCTCTGCAAACAATTTTTGTATTAAAAATGTTCATTTAACAAATTTAAACCGATGATTTTGTAGAATAAAATATTTGTACCAAAATTTTTAAAAATCAATATTTTTATGCTTAAAGTTTTAAAGTTGCATTTTATATTTAAAATATTGTTGACCATCAACTGTTTTGAGTTTAAAAAAATTTAATTTTGTAAATTTCTGTTAAAACATCATTAAATGCTAAAGCCATACATTTCCCTAACAAATTCAGTTTGGAGTTGGAAACTTTGCTGAAACACCTGAGACCACTAATAGTGAGATTCTGTATCAAATAACGATTTTGGACTTTTTACATAAATTAACACTAAAAACGGTTTCGTGGTAAATTTTGGTTGAGCAAGTTTTATCTCCTTTGTGTTTATGACTTTAGCGTTCTGATTAAATGAATAAAGTTTATTTTCATTAGAAACCGAATCATGGCATCTCCTGTCATCAACCCCTTCGAAGAATAGCGACCAACTCCCACCCCCTCGACACAAACATTCAGCTGTTTTACACCAAGACGCCATTTGGATTTACGGAGGCATGACGGATTTACAAGAAAGATCCGACTTGTGGAAATGGGATGCAACACATAGGTAAAAAGCTTTTAACTAATTAAAACATTAACGTAAATATGAAAGTGATGGAATATATTTGAATAATAAATGTAAATTTGATTTAATATTATTGATTGGCATAGGTACCTATATGCTATGAAACCGGACTGTAGCTAGAGCTTGAACTATTGATTTATTAAAACAAACAAGAGTTAAGAGCAAATTACCTTCAATTAAAAATAGAAATTTTAAAATCCATTATTGATCCACATACGTAGGCTTATACTTCTACTTGCAAAGTGAGACAAATTAGAAATAATAAAATAATATGATCAATTATTGTTATTGATCAAATCATCAAATGACCAATATTTTCCGTTCTCATTATCAGGTTAAAACTTGACCATAAATTTTCCTTTTATATGTACAATATAGGACTTAATATTCCTATGATTTTTGTGCAATCGTGATGGTCAACAATAAATGATCAAATTGGTTGGTTTAATTTTGGGAATGCTTGGGCATGGAAAAACGATGATAATTTTTTTATGTTTATTTGGGCAAATATTAGGCCTTTGAAAAATTGAAATTACATGATATTGGTGAATATTTGAACAAAAATACCTTTATACGTATACCAATATCTCAGTTATTAGACATGGGACCCACACCAAATTTATAATAGTTTATAATGACATTAAATAAACAAGTTCGGCGAAAACAGAATTTAAATTGAAGTTTGCGAAAAAAAGTTAGTTTTTCCTGTTGCCTCACCCGCCTCCAGGCCCCCCCATTTGAGATAATTCAAATTAAAGTGGTGCAATTTATTATCTACTATATTTATCGACAAATTTAAAATTTTATTTAAAAAATCGAAATATTACAGAAATTTATTCAATTTTAAATTATAGATAAAGTTGACTAATTTTTTTCCAAAACCATGGTTCTCTGGGTTTCTCCTCTAACTGTCAATTTTTGATCAACAAAAGTTGGTTAATGACTTAAATGTTCATCCAGTTCAATAGGAATTCATTCAAGATAGGTTTAAACCCCAAACTTATTTTGAAACAAGAAATAAATTCTATTGGACAGAAGGATTTTCACTTTGAGTTTAATTTAACTTTTTTGCTAAACTAAACCGATCTTGGGATGCAAATTGCTGGAGTGTATTTTTTTAAGGACTTGGACGAATATAAAGGGCAAAATACATCCGGGGCCTCTTCATAGCCACGCGGCCTGCAAAATGCCTTCGTCGATGTTGATTTTTGGAGGTGAACGAAGCGGACAAACTGTTAATGACCTTTGGAAATTTAACTTTTGTAAGAATTATTTAAACCTTAATAGAAAAAAATAATGTTGCATTTTTTAGCTACTGAATCCTGGGAAAAGATCACCATTTCAGGCTTGAAACCGCAACCAAGAGCCGAAACTATAGCGTTTACAGTATCAGAGTTGCTCCTCAATGACCCTTCCCAAACCTCCTTAGAATCTAAAGCCCTAAAAATTAGACAAAGGACCAGCAACTCTTCTGACCGCGGCAACAGACATTCTTCGTACATGCCAAATAATAGAATAGCGCCTAAAGAAAAAACCTACGTTTTCCAACCTAATAATAGGAATTATAGTGATGGTAGTGATATTAAAAGGTAACCATCGTGTATATTAGGGTGGGCCAAAAAAAACTTTTCATTTTTTTTCTTTAGTTACCATAAAAATATCCTCCAAGATGACGAAAGAAAAATCTGATAAAGTTTGAGCTCTTAATAATAATAATAGTTATTTATTGATTATCATAATTATAAAAATAACAACAATCAAAAGGCCTTAATATTAATATTAACACGGGAAAAAAACATTTTTTTGTTTGTAATTTTATTGCGTTTTAAGGAATCAGTGAGTTGTAGAAATCAATACATATTCTTGTAGGGAATTGAACGATCTACAAAAAAGATCTGATATGATTTTTTGCTTAGTCGACTCGTTTAAAAGTTATTTGAGGTTAAAATTCAACCTCAAATAGTAAATGATGACATTTATAGTTTTTCATACTCTATTAGGAAATATTGGCTCAAAAACATGAAATATCATATTTTTGGTGAAGTTTATCGAGTGTTCTTCGGTAAAACAATAAAATTTTTACTAAATAACAATAATCGCGTTTTTTTCTCTTGTTGATTTTAAAAAAAAATCGAATATTTTTCCTTACATAATTAATGACACAAAAATTAATCATTTTCTCAAAAAATAATAAATATTCTATTTACACTTGACTATTAGGTAATAAAAGCCATGTTTCAATAATTTATCAGTTAAAATAAAAAATGTTATTCCATAACTTGTACTTTTTTCACTATCTTAGAATCAAACATTTATTGTACTCTTCTATTAATGCAACTCTTCTTTCTGCTACATCATTGAGAACGCTAAGACGTTTGAAAAATACTAGATTATCTTAATAGCTTTCATTGTGTCCAAAATTCTACATTCTTATGGATAAAGTCAATGGGTAAATCAAGTATATTAAATATATACAGGGTGGTCCAGGTTATAGTAGCAATAATTCACCATTCGATAGTCCATCGAAAATAAGTCGACATGCATGGTAATTTTTTTCTCCAAAACCCCTCCTAAGGGAGATACAGCCCTTCAAAGTTGAGTTTTAAAAATATTTTTTTTGTCATAACTCTCAGGAAATAAAAGCGTTTTTGACCAAATTTGGTACAAGTACTTATGAAATAGGTACTCGTCACCTGACGTAAGTACCTTTTGTCAAAATTGTCCAGTGACGTAGATACAGGGGGGTTGTTTCACTTTTTCCACCCCATTTTTTACGCCACTGGATATTGGTTTAAATTGACCTATTTTTCTAATTCCTTGTTCAATTTTGAGAAAAAAAGCCACTCTTGTCAAATTTTGATTTAAGGCTTTGTTTACGAGATAATTGAGTTTAAAAAAACATACAGTCCTGCAAAGTTCAGTTTTAAATATCTTTTTTTTGTCATAACTCTAAATCTAAGATCGCTAAAGCGTTTTTCACCAACTTTGATACAAGTACTTATGAAGTAGATACTCGTTACTTGACCCAAGTAACTTTTGTCAAAATTGTCCATTGGCGTACATACAGGGGTTGTTTCACTTTTTCCGCCCAGGATTTCACTGAAAAATAACTCGACATGCATTGTTTTATTTTCTTCAAAACTTCCTCAGAATAGACATAAAGCCCTTCAAAATTCAATTTTAAGATTTATCTTTTCGTATAAGAATATTTGATTAAATTTGGTATTTAAAATAGGTAATCAACACTTGACGTATTTTTAGTTAAAATTATCAAGTGGCATACTACTTTTAGAAACGGATCAATGTGATAATTATTGATTATGATAATAAAAAACGATACGTACTAAATAAATCATAATAACATTTTAATAACGAATTCAAACTTATCTAACATTTAAAAATAAATTAATTTAACAATTGTTCAAAATTCGAACCGTTCTGCTGTATGCACAATTGGCTACGTCTAATGATGTTCTGGTTTAAGCTTAATAGCACATTGCGATTAATTTCTGCACACGCATTCTGGATTATTTGGAGAAGCTCTTCCCTTGTGGGCACAGGTGTGAAGGGCTTTATGTCTTTTCTGAGGAAGTTTTGAAGAAAATAAAACAATGCATGTCGAGTTATTTTTCAGTGAAATCCTGGGCGGAAAAAGTGAAACAACCCCTGTATGTACGCCAATGGACAATTTTGACAAAAGTTACTTGGGTCAAGTAACGAGTACCTACTTCATAAGTACTTGTATCAAAGTTGCTGAAAAACGCTTTAGCGATCTTAGAGTTAGAGTTATGACAAAAAAAAGATATTTACTAGTCAAAGATAATTTACAAAGCATGCAATGGAACTTAGGACGAATAGAAGAAGTACATCTAGGTCAGATACAATTGTAAGAGCGGCCACAGTACATACCAAAACTAGTATTTTCAAAAGGCCCTCTTCAAAATTAGCGATCCTTCCGATCTAAAGTCGATAATGTTTTATTTTTCCTCGTTAACCAAATATTGTAAAATCAATTAAATTTAAACATTGTGCAATGTTAATACACAATGACATTAATGTTATGTTACTTAAACTTATTACTATTATGTTACTTAAACTTATTTATATTTTGTTACTTAAACCTATTAATAGTATGTTACTTAAACTTGATCGTTACTCTCTCAAGGGGGGGAGTATGAACGAACACGTTCAATTCGGCGTTATTTTTACCTTTACTTATTTTTATTATATAATGATACGTTTTTATTTTCATGTGTAGTGCAATAAAACACTGTCAATTTAATGTGTTTTATAAAACAATATTTACAATATTTAGATACTATAAACAAAATGTTACCAAGAGGAAATGCGACGTATACAAGTTTCTTGGTGCTTTCAAAGATCACACAAGAAACTGAGAACTGCGTCATATTTTTTCTTATATTTAAAAAGGGCTGACTACTTAGTTTTCTCTGTAAGAGTGGCAGTCTGCTCTTGTTATTTTCAAGCAGTTATTCATTAGCATTTAACCGAGTACCATCTCTGTATTAAAATAAATACATCTAATTTTATTAAGTTGTGTTTATTGAAGAACGTTCCTGTTGCACCAAAATCCAGTCAACCAAATTCGCATACGGAAAATGTTTTCATGGATTAGTTTTCAAGGAAACGTACTTAAGCTCAGTACATAAAAACTGAACTTTGCAGGACTGTATGTTTTTTTAAACTCAATTATCTCGTAAACAAAGCCTTAAATCAAAATTTGACAAGAGTGGCTTTTTTTCTCAAAATTGAACAAGGAATTAGAAAAATAGGTCAATTTAAACCAATATCCAGTGGCGTAAAAAATGGGGTGGAAAAAGTGAAACAACCCCCCTGTATCTACGTCACTGGACAATTTTGACAAAAGTTACTTACGTCAGGTGACGAGTACCTATTTCATAAGTACTTGTACCAAATTTGGTCAAAAACGCTTTTATTTCCTGAGAGTTATGACAAAAAAAAGATTTTTAAAACTCAACTTTGAAGGGCTGTATCTCCCTTAGGAGGGGTTTTGGAGAAAAAAATTACCATGCATGTCGACTTATTTTTCGATGGACTATCGAATGGTGAATTATTGCTACTATAACCTGGACCACCCTGTATATATATATATATATATATATATATATAATATATATTTCATACTTATTGCAAGTAGTTAAAAAGAGAGATAGTGAAAAAGTACAAGTTATGGAATAACATTTTTTATTTTAATTGAAAAATTATTAAAACATGGCTTTTATTACTCTACATTACCTAAAGCTTCGTACAGACCTGAACATTGAGCCGAACAACAAGCAGAACAACGAACCGTACGGCAAACAGAACGGCAAATGGCCTTTTTTGATTTCGACGATCCGAACAACAAACGGAACGTTCGTGCTGTTCCCATAAATGCTCGTAGTAAATCTCAGTTAAAGTTTTACTAAAGATGGAAAAAAGTGTAGCAGCAGCAGCTTATATATACAGGGTGGCCGATTTATCTGAAGACATTGAAATATTTCGAAAACTACGCATCGGATCAAAAAAAGTTTTGAATAAAATTTGTTCGCCTGGAAGGGGGACATCCAATGATACCAAAGTCGACCCCTCACCACCACCCCATGGGGTGGGGGTGGGGGCAACTTTAATATTCTAAATAGGAACCCCCATTTTTTATTGCAGATTCGGATTTACTATTAAAAAATAAGTAACTTTTATGGAAAAACTTTTTTTAAATTCCTGATAGATGGCGCTGTAATCGCAAGAAACCCGATTTTTGGGAATATCTTAAAAAATTACACATCGGATCGAAAAAAAGAAAAACTTGTTTAATTTTTGGATTTTATTCGTATATCAATAAGTTAACATCTATTTTTAAAATTACCCAAGAATGGGAAATCCGAATCTGCAATTTTTCAAGATATTCCCAAAAATCGCGATTACAGCGCCATCTATCAGGAATTTAAAAAAAGTTTTTCCATAAAAGTTACTTATTTTTTAATAGTAAATCCGAATCTGCAATAAAAAATGGGGGTTCCTATTTAGAATATTAAAGTTGCCCCCACCCCCACCCCATGGGGTGGTGGTGAGGGGTCGACTTTGGTATCATTGGATGTCCCCCTTCCAGGCGAACAAATTTTATTCAAAACTTTTTTTGATCCGATGCATAGTTTTCGAAATATTTCAATGTCTTCAGATAAATCGGCCACCCTGTATATTCATTCATTATTAAATCAAAAGAAAAAATCGCGAAAAACAAGAAGATGGTGGCAAACCCATTTTTATACACAAAGAAGTACGACAAATTTCAATTTAGTAAGTGAATTAAAGTTTCAAGTTTCAAAAGTTTCAAAATTTTACGAGGATGGCACCTACCGACTTTGAGTATTTATTAAACAAAATAGTCCCGAAAATTGAAAAACATAACACTGTCCTAAGAAAAGCAAATATCAAGTCAAGATATATTAGCAGTAACCCTTAAATAAACAAAGTCACTTAAAGGAGGAGACAAATAAACACTTAAATGAGAACAATTCACTGGTCTGTTCGCCGTTTTGTTTTGATCCGTCCAAACCTCCGAACGCATTGGCGAGCATTTCCTTTGATGTCGAAGGAAAAACCGACAAGTGATGGGAACGGGGCGAACCGTTCGCCGAACGGTCAGGATTCGCGAACATGTTCGCAAACGCGTTCGCAGCCCCGTCCAAATTAGTGTTCTGTTTGCCGTTCGGTTCGTTGTTCGGCTTGTTGTTCGGCTCAATGCTCAAGTCTGTACGAGGCTTAATAGTCAAGTGTAAATAGAATATTTATTATTTTTTAAGAAAATGATTAATTTTTTTGTCATTAATCAGATAAAGAAAAAAAATCGAATATAACAAAAAATTAAGTAGGTAGGTATAGGAAAAAACCGGTTTTTTCACGATTATTGATATTTCGTAAAAATTGTATTGTTTTACCGAAGAACACTCGATAAACACGAAAAATATGATATTTCATGTTTTTGAGACAATATTTCGTGATGTATGAAAAACTATAAAAGTCATCATTTACTATTTGAAGTTGAACTTTAACCTTAAATAATTTTTAAAAGAGTCGACTATGCAAAAAATCATATCAGATCTTTTTTGTAGATCGTTCAAGTCCCTACAAGAATATGTATTTATTTCTACAACTCACTGATTCGTTAAAACGCAATAAAGTTCCAAACAAAAAAATGTATTTTTCCCGTGTTATTTAAATGGAAAATAAAAAATCGCGATGAGCCACCTCTTAATATTGATATTAAGAGCTCAAACTTTATCAGAATTTGTTTTTCGTCATCTTGGATATTTTCATGGTAGCCAAAGAAAAGAAAATTAAAAGTTTTTTTGGCCCACCCTAGTGTATATCAATCTTTTACTGATAATAACAATAAAATTATTTTACAGTGAGTTAGCAGATCATTATTCTGAGGTGAACAACCGTTCTTCCAGGAGTTTTTTACATGAAATTAGTAAGCTGTCGCAGCTGAACATCTCCAAAATAAGCAATAAATGCAGCTACACCGTGTTAACCGGTTCAAACACTTCCGACAGCACGGAAAGCTTGCTGCGGCAACACGCAAGCCCTCAGGCCCACGAGAAAGACTTGAACTTGGAGTTGGAGGAGTTTTCGACCCCGTCGAGAGGCACCATGGTGAAATCGAAGTCGGCGCATGTCATCAAGAAGAAATATCAAGTGGACATATCCCCGGACGCGCCGTCGAAGAAAAGGGTCGACTTCGATCCGAACATAAAGAAAATAACTAGGGAACCAATATCAGTGCCAAATTTTAGCATTTTGAACTTGGCCACGCCAGTATTGACGCCTGTAGAAGCGACCAAATTAGTTTACCTGACTGATGAAGAAAACGATTGTGATAGCGACGAAAGGAAGAGGGATGAAGTGGAAGTAGAAACCGTAGAAGTAGAACCTTTAGATCATGGATTGATTATCTACGAAAAGGACAACGTCTACGAGGAGAACTTCGAGATGGACAACTTTGATTCGTTTAAGCTCAGAAGGGGCGAGAGTTATAGTTCGCATCTGGCGTACGCTGATAACCCTTTGTACCACGAAATGATCAAAATGACGGAGAATGAGGAGAACGTTTCGTCCACATCCGACTACGCTAGCATAGAAACTGTCAACAGGTTGTCTTCAGCGAGTAATTACAGCGTCAAAACGGCAACGCCGCAAGAGGAAAACCTGAAGAACAGGCAGAAGGACAAAGCCGGCCCATTCGGCTTCTGCAACCCGAACTACATGGGCCCAGATATAAAATCGATTCTCTCGAACGATACCAAAGAGAAGAAGATGGTGAAAAAATTGCTCACGACGAAATCCTTGGACTGCAACGAACGTACTGTAGAAGATGACGTTTTAGAACTGCAAAATGTTAACGGAGTCATAGACAAGAACACGAAGGTGTTCTTCAGGCACTCCTGTAGAGTTAACAGACCTCCAAAAACCTTGGCGTTGGACTGCAAGAATAATAGAGCTGTTGTGGGTAAGCACAGAGCCCAAAGTGCCAGCAGGGTCGAGAAGAAGTTGGAAAGAAGTTTTACTTGCAACGTTGAGCCTTTTGTTCCGCTGTATGTTTATATCATGGGCGGGAAGGAACAAGGTCAGGTAACAGTTTTTCAAAGGCCAATCTCCATATGGAAGTTAAAATTGTTTTAGGCGTTTAGATGGTATTAACCTTATAACTTATAAGTCTGATCCATTTTTTGGTGATTCTTTTGGTTTTCTTCCATTTTTAAATTCTAGAATCTCATATTCATTTTTGCCCATTTGATTTAAAAATTTAAATTAAATAACCATTATAAAATTGTAGTTATATGTATAAAAAATTATATAAAACTAAAACGTATTAAAAATTAGTACTCTACTCTACAAAAAATGTAAATTATTTACGTATAGTAGGTAAGTATTTGAAAACTTATTTTAAATAAGTATTATACAATTTTGTAGTATTTTTACCAGCAAACAGATTTAGAAAAACAATTAGATGTAGATAACAAAATCAAATTAGACACTAAAAATATCGGGTAGCTCATAATGGTGAGCAGTTTTAAACAATTTATAACAAAAAACTATTTTTAATATATTATTTTGTTTTTAAGGTAGTTGTCGTGGTACAATATTGTCAAAACTTTTTAGATTATACGCACCGTAAAAGTATACGAGCTTGTAGCTAAGTGATTCATAATTTATTCGCAAGACTGTACCCTGGAGACTTTACCTTTACGTAATACTTTCAAATATTTTCATAAGTTTTAATCCGGCAACGTCGCTTATGCTCAACCAATAGATATATTGGATACTTAATCAGTGTTTGAATTTACTGCGGAAATAATATCTATACTCGCGTACAGCGTTGCCAAGTTGTTTTTATCTGACACTAGTGATGTATACTTGTTACAAATTGTTGAAATTTAAACGGTTATTTATAAACAATTGGACGGTCAAAAATTTTTAATTATTTTTTTTTAAACTCAGCAAAAATACATTAAAAGACTGTTAGTTTTTTTAAAGCTTCTGACAGTTAGTTTTTTTGTTATAACTAAAAAACTGGTACAGAACTACAGAAAGCGTATACAATCCATATTAATTATCCAATTTTTAATTGAATTTATCTCGGGTTATAGACGGTCAATCGACTTCAAATTTTAAGGATAATTGTATTGTCATGTCCTTAATATGTATACAAAAATTTAAAATTTTCTGATGGTATGCTTACAGCACGACAACTACCTTAATTCTGGACATTTTTTTCATATAAATATTATTACTCAGATTATTCAGTTTTACCGAATTTCAGGCCAAGTTCTTGCAATGTGATGGTTCAAAATGTGTATGCATAACGAAAGCAGAAGCAGATGCGTAAAAGTCTGCAAGGCGGAAGCAAAGGAGTATGTTATCTAAACTGCGCACCACTCAATGTGTCGCTACCAAAAAGTTCGTTCTATTTCAAAACGACATAACTTTTTCGTTTCTTGAACGATTTTATTTTGGTCTATGATGTCTCTTAGCCCCATCCTCTGGCAATTCATGATATATATATGAAGCTTAAGGTTCTTCAAGTAAATTTCCTACAGGGTGATATGTTAAACTGTGAAAAATTTCAATAACTTCATCCAAGCCCCGTTTGTAAAAAAATAATTTTTTTCTCGTTTTTACTTTGAAATAATGAAGTATTATGTCTTGAAACATTTTCAAATTTTTGGAATTGGAATCTTAGCAACGAAAATATGATTTTTTTTTACAAAAGAGTACATTTAAAATTTTTTTGTAGGCAATTTAACAGCCGGGAATTGTTTTAGAATTTTGATTCTTAGTGATTTTGGTTTTATGTGAAACTTAAATTTGACAACTGAATCACAATCAGGAGGTCAAAATTATAAAGAAAACATGTCACGAACGTAAATATCGGGTTAGGATTAGTTTTCGCAAATTTTCACCAACATATCATTTTGAAAAAGTGGTCTTTGCTTAGGCCCCTCTGAAAATAATGATTTGTTGCTTGTCGCTTGTTCAGAATTATTCAAGGAACAATCTTTCACCACCTAATCTCCTTGTTCTTAAAAGGACTGAGTGTATTGCCTGCCAAAAAGCCTTAAATGTACTCTTTTGAAACCCTTTTCAAGGTAAGACATAATTAGGGATGGGATTTTAGTTATTTTACCTTTTTTTAACCGATGTAACTATTTGAAAACCAATAATGCCAAAATGTGTTTTAAAAGATTTTCTTTTATATGAACCTAACTTGTTTTCACCTTTTTTACCTTTTTTGAAGGTTTTTGCTTTTAACTACCTTTTTTATACTTTTGTTACCTATTTTTTAACTTTTTTTCACCTTTTTTACCTTTTTTGGAGGTTTTTGCTTTAAACTACCTTTTTATACTTTTGTTACATATTTTTTAATTTGTCAGTTTATTTTCACATATTTGTTACCTATTTTTACGTATTTTTACTTATTTTTTTTTTGTTCTTTTTAAAATTTGCGCCAATATTTTATCCAGGGCGTGTAACTCAACTGTATAGAATTTTTTCTTATGGTTACAGACTGTAACAGTAACTTTCTTTACAGTTACCTTCTTTGTAGTTACTCACTACTAGTGAGATTATGTTCTGTCATAGAACTTCTGTGTAGTGAGTGTCACTCAGTAAAACACAGTTTATTGCATAGAAATAGTTTATTGTGGGTATGTTCTGTGTTTGGGTATGCGGCTAAACAAAATTATAAACGAAACTTAAACTTTTAATGATTTTTTTTACCTAAAATGCTGTTTTTTAACCTAAAATGCTTTTTTTTAGTACCTTTTTAGTTACCTATTTTTCAGTTTTTAGTACCTAAATATCCCATCCCTAGACATAATACTTCAATATTTCAAAGTAAAAACGGGGAAAAAATTATTTTTTTACAAACAGGGCTTGGATGAAGTTATTGAAATTTTTGAGCGTTTTACATATCACCCTGTACGAAATTTACTTGAAGAACCGTGAGCTTTATATCTATAGCATGAATCGCCAGAGGATAGGGCTAGCAGACATGACAGACCAAAATAAAATCGTTCAAGAAACAAAAAAGTTATATCGTTTTGAAAAAGGACGAACTTTTTGGTCGCGACACATTGAGTGGTGCGCAGTTTATATGAAAAAATATCCAAAATACTTTGATAAAATTTAAAAAAATATATTTAGTGTTATAATTTGTTAAGACCGCAACCCCAAAATTATTGACAACAATACAGGCTGCACCAAGTATCCTTCTATGTAGGGTTTAAAAGGGTCGAAAAAAAAACGGAAAAATTGGGGGGAAAACTGTTTTTTAGGCATTGGAAAAATTGCCAGAAAAAAAAATAAAATTAAACATTGTGGGGCCTTTTTTGCAAAAAGGAGTCCTTTGAAAATATCAAATTACAAAATAATGATTGATTTATAAATTACAAAATTATAATTTTATAAATCGAAGTGTCAAATAAAACGAAAGTTATGTTAATACAGCACCGAATATGTTTTTTTGCGACCTGTTAGAATATTCTGAATTAAAATAAAAGGAATAATTATTATGATACGGATAGTAGGTATCAGAAAAATTTGTAAATTTTTAGAAAATTTGTCTTTTGCATTTTTTCGTATTACCCTTTGAATAAAATGAAAAAAATGCCAAGTCATTTTTTCTGAAAATTTCCCAATTTTTCCGATTTTTACAAAAAAAAACCGGTTTTTTCCTGAAATTTTAAAACCCTACTTCTATGTAAAATAGCACTTTAAAATTTAAAAAAATCGTTTTTAAATAATTTGGAGAAAAATTAAAACCTTTTCAAACCAAAAATCGTACCTACACATACACATTTAACTACATTCTTATCCAATTAGTGATTTTTTTCGCTAGATTCTGAGTTACCACCACCATCTTTTGTTTTTGCTACCTTGAAACCATGTAAGGTAAAAAAAAATCAAGCAATCCAACTGTGTATCAAACAACATAAGTTATGGCGGCCATTATAAAAACAAAAGAATGTGATGGTAACTCAAAATATAGTAAATTTGATGAAAATTTAGATTAATGCGAATTTTTACATGTAAAACTTACTTTATTCAAAATTCCCAGAATTGACGAAATTAAAACGATTTCTTTTAAGGTTTTGAGTTTTTTTAAATTTTTTTAGAATCGCTGACATTTTTTCTAATTTTTCTATAATTTAACCGACCTTGTATATAGAAGTATACTTCGTGTACCCTGTATAAAGAATCTTAATATTTTTATTGTCTTATATTTTGAACTTTTAAATAGATCTAGTAAAATAACAATTCAATATTTCTTCTACTTATTCTACATTTTAAAAAATGGCGAATGCGCAGGGATATTTTTTTTTATTTAAAGGTATCTTTCATGTGATTAAGTTTAAAAATTAGTAGGTACAAATTCGTCCAGAAAGTCCGTTCTAATAAAAATTACTCAATTTTAAAAAATAATATTAGGAAAATTAACAAGTATTATGTGCAATATTTTTTTTATTTGTGATAAATTTAAATAATATTATTACATTTTGTCCCTCTCAAGTTGTTAAATGTACTTATTTAGGTAGAAAAGTGTCTATATTTTTGTTGATAAAATATCTACTTATTACCTGTAAATAGAATTTTTGTTATTCTGCCTTCCTGAGTGGGTACCTATCTACAAAAGCCTATCCGTATCTACACGTTTTCCAGGAGTTGAGGCCGAAATCACATACGTTTGTTTTGTTTGAGTTTAATTTTAAAACGTTTGATTAAATTTCTCTGGTCGGCTCAAAAATAGGTTGCCACTCTTCTTTAGAACGTCAGTATTTTATTATGTGTATATTGTATAAAGTTAATTATTTATCAATTTGGTGTATTGTAACGTGTATTTTATTTGTTTTCATTATTAATTTGTGTTTAAAAAGATGGGAAGATAAAAAAATAAATTAGAACTATGTAAATCAAAAATAAAATTCTGTGTAGAAAAGTAATCAAAAAGGACGTAAACAAAATTAAAAAATAGTTTATTAACAAAATATTAAATGCTTTATAGAATATATACGGGATGTGTTTTTAAACTTAAAATAGTATTTTGGATATTCCAATAAAAAAACATAATAAAATATACAGGGTAGTTGCAAATTATACTAAATAGGAGCTAATGAAAAAGA